TACCTTGACTTTGGGTTAATCTTCATCTCTTTAGCTTCTGCAGTGTCAGATGTCACTCCATTTACAGCCCTAAACTCCAGAACTGCATGCAAACATGGGAAAGACATTTTTAAACTCTATGTTTAGTTAGCTGATCTGGAAGAACACATGCTTAGGTTTTGCAACCACAACAGTCATGCCAATGGTGGTAGTAAGACATTTCTAAGTATTTGTAGCTATAGGAGGAACTCCAAATATTGTAAATTCACCTTGGAGGAAAATATTGCTGCAGCAAGAGGAAAGGGAACTGCCAGAGGCAGACATTAAAAACAGGAAGACTTCCTTTTTGGTGTAACATTCCGCATAAACATGAGCTTGGAGCTGCGATAAAGCTGCATCGCGTTTCCTCAAAGGGGAAACAATTGTATATGATTCCCAATGAATGAGGGGAAAAAGTGCAGAAGAACTTAAATAAAAATGGCTACAGACAGCAAAAAGGCTGTTTTCCATCTGCTTGCTTAGGAGGGTTAGGAAACCACTGTTGGTGTTAGTGTGAATATTTGCAGTAATATTTTTTTAGTTGATCACCAGGGACTAAGAAGCATTATCTTTTCACAGGCAGTTTTCATGGACTGCCAGAAACATGTGTCCAAATGCTTTTAATTTTAACATCTAATCTGTGAGGAACTGTTTAATGGGAAACTTAACACAGGGGTGGAGAAAAAGATTAATTCACTATCAGCACTCAAGGATGACGTATAACATCTGTAAGCACTTAAAGAAATTGGATTTAACCAACAATATCACAAGCTCAAAAAAAAAAGGCAAAGAATGACCTCAAATTACTTAAATGTGGGCATTTATTGATGATAAATGCCCTGTTTATGTACAAAACAGTTGTCAGGTATCTTCTTCTAATTATTTCCTACAAGGAAAACAAATTTTTAAGCACTTGATACAATTTTCTTCTGCTTGGCAAAATGTCTGACAAGTCTCAGCAACTTGGCTTAACTTCCAACATGGAATAAATTTGCTTAGATGATCTGTTAAAAGGCCAATTTAACACAACTAGCAAACAAAAGGCATTTTTTTTTTAAACACACTTACACTGATAGGGTGGATTAATAACTAATTGTTACAAAAGGTATTTCATAGCTAGCTATCCGATGCTTTTAGATACTGAAATTAAAGCATCCTCTTATTTAAGTTTGTGACAAATGTATGCAATAGGCCAAGAAACAGTGTTGCTGTAAACACTGCTGTAAACACGCCCTGTACAACAGTAGCCATTTATTCCTTTATTTTTATTACATACTGCCAAATGATATGCATCATTTTGGTTGCCATATTTAAGCTTTGCAAGACTCCAAATAAATTTATCAATATATCATGGCACAGCACAGCACAAAACAAGATATTTTTTTTTTCTTACTTTAAGAATTATGAGGCTGGTTAATTCTAATATATTATTTTCTATGAAAGAATATTAGGAATTTTCCAGATGAGGGAAAAATACTCAAGATAAACTCCAAAATTTACTGGAAGAGATCAAATAGAAAACCAACATAGCATGTTTTTAATTTCTCAAGCCTTATCACTAGTACCCTCTTACGTGTATGATATATATATGCACACACACACACACAATTTCTTTGCTTTTAGAAATAATTGTCAAAAGTGTATTGACACAGACTACTCTGGTTTGCATGTATAGAAAAAGTAAAAACTTTTCTATTTGAAAGAATTTGTGAAGCTGTTATCACCAATATTTGCACATTAAACTAAAGATTCTCGATATTAAACATGCTTAATATTTTTTCTTCTAGCCAATGACATGAAGGGGAAGTTTGATTCTAGATAGAGCTCATCCTTTATTGCAGCTATTTGGGAGGACAGATTTACATGTTTGCTAAAACAAAAAAAAAGTATTTATATGATGGTAAAGTCACAATAAAGTCATGAAAAAATGGGATTAACAAGACATCAAGGCTCTTAATCACAAAACTCTCAGGAAGTATGTGATAATGCAAAGTACACCATTTATACCATTTTCCATTCTGTTTCTGAAGCTTAAACAGTCACTACTCTGCATTTCCCCTTCCAGGTAACCTGCCTTAGTAATGTTCATGCAAAAACTGTATCAAGAGCATGAATAAGGAGGAATAACCAGATGCATACTGAAAGCTACTACTTGGCTTGGTATTGACCAGTGCAGAAAAAAGCTGTTTACCATGTAATACATTACAGCTGCACGACTGTAATTTTTTAATGCAAGGGACTTTAAGTTAAAAAGTAATTTACAGTAACAGTTATAAAAAGCAATTAGTTACTCTTCTGTTTGCACAGAACACAGGATAAGCAAAGAACAGAAAGCAAGAGAAACTAAGTAGAAGAACAGAATATCCTAACACTCTTTTTTCCTTCACTTCAAGTTTGGGATCCATTCTTGATTAGAATCCTGTTACTTTACCATGAGAAACAGCTCATAGGCCAAAGCTAGGAGGACCATGTACTCTTCTTGTTTACAAAATTAAAGTGAAAGAGAACAATTGATAATGGAAAAATTAAAAACTACACTTTCTCATAATCCACAGATAATATCCCTCATCCACCAATAGGATAATCGAAATGACATACATCCTTACAGCTGGGAAACTCTTAAAATGAATATTTATAAAGCAGTTGTCCAGTATGAAGTAAATACAAGGAAAAAAGGAAAAAAGGAAAAAAATCCATCTATTTTTCAATAGAAACAGGCTTGAAGGTAACTTACGATAGTCAGTGAAACAGTCTTTAAAAAAAAAAAGAAGAAGAGGTAATCAAGGCAGTAAAAATGTAAAAAAAAAGCAGGAAAGCACTGATGGGAACATAGAACACATTTGATTCCTAACAAAGGAACAAAACCCATCAATGCAGCTGGGGAATAAGAGCAGGAACCCCTAAGCTGTGGTTATTTTCTCTGCAGTTCAAAAGGAACGTCCCAGGACATAAGGACTGAAGCCGCCTATACTGCTTCTGTGGAGGATTTTCTGCTTCCCTCATAAGGAGTTCTACTGGTAACTCTGAAGTTCTGCAACACTTTTGTTTGCTCTTTAGATTTCCCCCTCAAACACAGCCAGAAATGCCTAAATGTGGCCTAACTCTCATAACTTACTGTGTAATGGAGCTGATTTACCGCATTCTGAAACAAACGGTCCCAACATGTTTTATTTGTTAGCATTTATAAAGCTTCCTGGAAAAGAAACATGTATATATTAAGTACCATTGTAATTAAAAGAAGAAAAAAATGCACAAAGCATTTGTACAAATCTGTTTAGTTAGCTTATTCAGAGGATGGCAATTAGCATGAACCCATTTGTAGTTTGTAATAGGTAAGCCACAAATTTAGAGAGTTAAATACTTTTTTGCGTCTGAGCTCACCAAAATGCAATTTTATTTTGAAGCAGCTGCATATCCTAAAAACAGACATGACTTCAAGCAAGAGAGACTGCACGAACAGCATCTGATTTCAGTCTTCTTCATATCTGTTACTGAAAGAGGGTACTATTCTGATCCAGCACTTCAAATTAAGTCATGTATCTGAAATACCTAACTGAAATAGTTCAGCAGAGGTAATTTTAAGTTCTCATTACAATTATTATTTAGCGTAGCACTTGGTATACCACATGTGCCTGATACCCTTTCAGAAATCAAAAAGCCAAATTATTTTTGTCTATAATGGAGTATAAAAAGAAAAAAAAATCAAGATTCAATATGGCCAATGAAATTCCAAATCTGCATAAAGTTTGAAATATTATTGTACAAGAAAAATTGATTCAAGGTAATCAGAGCAATTAAAATAAATGTTGCTAGATTTGAAGGCAACAAAAGAACTTCACTATGTGATCTCTACATAAATAAATGCAAAAATCTGTTGTATTATTTTGGTAGATTCTGTACAAGATTCACCAATTAATTTTATTTAAATATAACTCTTACAACAATTTAATCTAGGATCTTAACGAAAAGTTGACAGTTCTAATGTAGAACTTGCACAATAGTTATCTTTTAACACTGACTAAACAAAGAATAGCATATAAAAAGTTTTAGATACATTTTCAAATGAAGACATTTAATCCCAGATTCACTATTTTTGTAAGATGAATTTTATCCTTTAGTACGCAACTTAATCCTTTATCTGCCACACAAAGTATACAATTTATCACAGCAAAATTTACAGAATAATTGACTTAGGCCTTGGTCTTACAAAGACCTGTTTACACATTTGGGGTAAGTAAGTGTTTTTCTTACTTTTAAGTTCTATACATATGTTCAAGATTTAAGCCTACATCTGAATCTACAAAATCCTACAAGATAAAAAGTCTCTTAAATATACATCTTAGACCCATTGCAGTACACAGTCTGCATACAGGTGAACCTATCTTTTGCTGAGTTCTCCACTGATGACTCTGCACCACATGGACGTGGGTAGAAAATGAAACACATTCCAACAGTTAACTCTCCGGTGCTGGGGGTTTGATTGCTGAAAACAGCTGTTAAATTGGAGGAGGGGGCAGTGGGCTGGAAAGAATCAAGTTCTGGGGCTTAGCAGGCCTCAAACTGCTACAAAATGCAATCTATCCCATAAGAAAGAGACATGTCTTAATATAAGTAGCTGTAACAAATTCTGTTTTAGAAAACTGCAGTTCCTCAATACTCACACTTTCATATGCTCACAGCCTCTTTCTTCAGAACTTGTATCGTTAATTTAACATATCATATAAGATCAATTTTGACGGTATTTATTTTATTTTTTTTTCAAACTACCCTACTTCGACAGCTAATCACTTCAATGCAAGAACAGACCTCAACATCGAAGAGTTAAAGCTGCCCATGCGTAACTGAAACAACTTGCTGTAAGATTAAGGTCTATAAAGCCTTCAGTTTGTCTTGCAGCTCTACAAATAGCAAAGACCTTTTTTTCCCCCACCTTAAAATCTAACCCACAACCAAAATCGATACCTGCTATACAGCCAGCAGGTACTCATGCAATCATCAGAATTTCCAAAGCGCTGGTTAGTTCATAATGAAAAGAAAAACAAAGTCAAATTGCAAACAAGTACACAACTTTTTACAAAAAGGCCCCTTTGTGGTATATTATATACAACATAGTGTTCTCATTTTTCTTAAAGTGCTAATATCATTATATTGGCTTCAAGATCATCTATTGTTTTAGAAGGTCTTTTAATACAGCACCAGCACTGGCATCAGGGGACACTGGCAGTGGTGTAAAGGTGGGTAAAGCATCAGAAATTGGCTTCATAAGCAGATGTCCAGAACTACTAGCAGGTGTTATGAGAGGCACTGCTGCAGATCGAGGTGCTAAAAATGGGTTTGTATCGGGTCTTCTGCTGGTTCCTGAGACAGCAGAATCTGAAATATATAAAATACATATATAAATACACACACAAAATAATACTATTTTGGTAGAGTCTTACAAGTCTACCCAATTTTGGAGTATTTGCAATAAATTTTGCAACTGCATTTTAGTTTTGTAATATCGAAATTAAATCTTCTTGAACTGGACTGCAGATACTCAGACTTCCATTCTCTCTACCTTCTCTCATCTTCAATCTCATCCACCACTACTTCCTCTGCCTAAACTTATTAAAATAAATCAAGCAAATACTGCTTTCCAAGATAAGTTGATATTTTACATGAGACATTTTTGCTTTTCACCATCCAACCATTTTAAGCATCTTTTAATATTAATACTTAATACAGATATCCTATTTCTCTCTGTATCAGCCTACAGATGTTAAATGTTTCAGGTAAAACAAGCTTTTGCAAATCAATGGGACATTAAGGGTGCATTTAAAGACACATAAAAAACGTAAGTAGAAGGTGTATCAAACTGAAATGGATCTTATATTACTCAGAAACAAGTGCACAGTTCCTTACAGAATCAGCAGTAGAGCCAAAATTCATTCGTTTCCACATAAGTAATCTAAGAGCAATTTATTAAAAAAAAAAAAGAGTCAAGGTTAAAGACACAACTTAGAAACAAATTTCAGATTGGGCTATGTACTCATTTCACTCCTCTCCAAGTGAGGAAGTTCTATATATCAGAGACATTATAATGCTGTCATTACTTATATTTTTTCACTCAGAGACCCAGGCTGATCAATAGGGATGCTGAAAATTAGGACTGGGCGCACTGGCACACTCTATGGAGAAGTCTGCACAGCATCTGCTTTGACAGGCACTGTTGAAACCTCTCTAAACCAAGGGACTGCGTTCATTTCAAGCTTCTGTTTTGAGGATTTAGGAAGCAGGGAAAGGAAAATGAAAAAAAGAGGAAAAAATAGAAGAAAATGGTAGCAGCAGAGAAACAAATTTATAGTTCTCAGGTAAAGAAGCACAGAATCATTTAAATCCTTCTCAGAATTGCAGGTAAATTTACAAATTCTCCTTCAAATGTTACCGTGTATTTGCCCGCTGGATGGAGTACTGATAGTTTTACTGGTTCCTGCTACTCCTAAAGGTTTCATATCTTGAACGGAGAGCTTTGGTGGAGGAAGACTTGGGCAAGACTCTGTCTCAAGGAATTTCACAAACAATTCTGAAAAAGACTACAAGAGATTTCCAGTTAATATATTTGTACCTATTTTTCAACAGAGCATCACTAAGTTAAAAAGCTATCAGCAGGCTATAAAACATTCTGAACTAGTACTTAAAGTAGTGTAGCAACAAGAAAACATTTTCGAAGTGTGAAGTTTCTGTTTTCTTGGTGAATGACATCTATGTGTAATTGATAAACTCCAGGGATAACACATACCTCCACCATGGTTTCATTAGGGATTGCTTCAAGGTTAATTTCAAACCAATTGTTTCAAGAATCCCATGTGGCAAGTGACACTATTTCCTGTGTCTGCACTCAAACCAAATATTCCTACCACATTAATTCAAACATCAGTTTCCTTTAAAATATTTTCTTGTATTTGACAAAAGCATCTTGAATAAAGGAAACATGGACTGCTTAAGGTGTCAGTGGCAGAACATAGTATTTTGCTCAGAACAGCTGAGGCTATACTTACAAAAGCATTAATTTTCTTCTTTTATGACTGCAGTTTATAAGATCACAATCCTTTAGTGACCTAATGGTCTGTATTATTTTAGTGAGAAAAAACAATGTAAAAGACAAATGGAGACACAGTCAATAAGTTTGATGTTATGGTCTTATGTACTGCTGACTATTAAAAACTTCCCAAGTCCCACATGTTTTTGACCCCCAGCACCGTTATTTGAAAGATACAAATCCCTACTGGAGGAGGTCAGTGGTCTATGAAGCCAGTAGAACAATAATCACATTTTGTTATTAGCTCAGCATTTAGAACCGTGTCGTTTTCATCAAAGCCTTCCTATTTATTTACTGGGGAGGAAAAAAAAAAAGAAAAAAAAAACTGGAAAACTATGACAAAGTAATTGCATGAAGAAAAAAAATGAAACAAAATATAGTAAAATCACTAAATAAAGTTCAATATAACAATGAAACAGACAACCAGCATTCACATGCAACTCAGTTTCTCCACTCAAACATACAGAATGCATGATAAACCCTTACACTATTAAAAATGGACTGCTGAGTTGGTCTCAAAGGTGTAGTAGGGACACTTTTTGATCCAGCTCCTCCTCCAAGCCAGCTAGTCACCCATCTGGTAACTCCTCTTTGGTCTTCAGATAACAACTAGATAGTTAAAAATACCAAAACAAAAATAGAACAGCAGATAAAATAAAAGCATGAGGTTGCCTATTTTATTCACAATCCACGTGGAAATACCACATAATCCTGTGGATAAACAAACCTTTAATTGTTGGCACATCTTTTCTTTCTACCTCTCTGAAAAACTAGGAGTTTTAAGTCCCGACTCTTTGTTTAAAAAATATAAAACATTTTTCACAATACCTAGTGGCACATGTCATACCGTTTTCTTTTAAGCATATTGCAAATGAAGAAGGAAGCCTGGTTTTCAGTAAAATATTACCTGATCAAGTTCTTCCTTTTTTATTCCCAAGATACTTCCCATTAGCCTTAATACTTCAGGACGCTTCTTTTTTGGAGTATGAAAGTGTCCAACGAAGAGATTTCTCATCAGGAGCCTATAGGACAAAGAAAGCTCCTTATACAGTCTGCTCTTTTGTAACAGCTCATACAGAAGTATGGATGTCTAAACCCAGATGCATTTGTTCCCTGTACTTTTTCCTAATTTACAGTAATCAAAATGAACTACCCAATACAAGAAATTAAAAGGAAAGCTCATCATTTCTTTTTTTCCTCCCTCCAAATTAAAGCATTTCTTACACAGCAAGCACTAATGTGGACAGTTTTGGAAATATTGTACTAAAATCAAAAATTATACATGAGCAAGGTCTGAAGCAAGTGCTAAAAACTAGAAAAATATTCTAGTATCTTGACTCAGGAGAGCATTTTAACTGGTATTTGTGCATGCTGCCAAATAAAGGCTTAAGGAAGGGGCCAGGAAATCCATTTGCCTGTTCTGACAGAAACGTGAAAGATCAAGCAAGAAAGATCAAATGTGCAGAATGTCCAGGTGATGTTCTCGGTGTGTAAGGGCTTACTGTTCCTACCTCTGGCACATTACAGCAGTTTTTCACTAATAGCTTTTCTCTCCATGTAATGGTCTCATCTCTGCATGTAATAAGGAAAAAAGAACAAAACATCCACAAGTGTAACGAAAGACTTACTTGTCCACTTTTCCTTCTGTGCTGTTGACAAGATTCATTAGTTTATTTTGTACATCTTCTAGCATTTCTCTTCTAACCTCACCTATAAAATGGGATTTCAAAACAAGTAAACAAAAATGGAGGACTTTTTCAATGCATTATTCATACATACTTACACACCATACTTCATATATCTAAATAAAAGCTCCATTTTCTAAACATGCATGATTCTAATAAACAAGTTAATTTTTAATTCATAACTTGAAATTTCTAGAACAATATTCAATGCTAAAGTACATAATCATGCAGAAGATAAATCTGCTGCAGAACTGATGAGCTGTCACCAATGTGACAAAGGGCTGGGAAGGAGTTTTTGATCAGGGTCTTAATGCTGTGGTTGCAATCCTTTTTCATAACCTGGCCAAACTCCATGGTTGTCAGGTCTTTTGACCTCAGTGCTCCTACCTGGAGGCAGTTCCAGAAAGTTACAATTGGATGGTTGGTGACTATCTCCTAAATGCCAGTCTGAATTTTCTTTAAAAATACGTTAACTAATGATATAAAGAGCTGCTGCAATAGATCCCAAGTGCAGTTTTACGTCTTGACTGAAAAAGTGCAAGAGGGCCCATTAGTTCAAAAGGACATCGGTGCCCTGAAGCAGAGAGAGGGCCCTTCCGGACTCCCGAGCTTATTGCTGTTTTTGGAGCTCTGCAAAATTCTGGGAAATGATAGAGTTTCTAGAAATCTTTTATCTTTTTTTCTGGGTTCTGCCTCCCTAATTAGATCTTCTTGCCTACCTAACTGCATTATTTACAACAGACAACCTAAGTTACAGACCCAAACACTTATCAGAGCATATTCTCACCTGAAAATAGAGCCTTTAGCACATGCTTCTTCCTTTCCCTTTTACCTTCCCAGGGCCCATAGAGTATTTCAAGATACCACATCTCATTTTCCGGCTCAATAGAGTATTTAACAACAATATATTTTAATAATAAAACTCCACCTTCCCTAAGCTCATTTTGCCTCGTCTATAGGCAGGTTCCTCAAACTTTTCCGCCCTTAGGAGTCCCCCAGTTTCTCAGAAGAACTACAGGCTGGGCCTGTAGTCCCTTGCTGGGGGTCTCTTCTGCTGAGCACCTTCCCCTGCCCTTGCTCAGGGCCACCAGCCTGCTCCTGGGCTCCTCACACTTCAAGCAAAATATCCTCATCCTGGAGCTCACACAGCCCAGGGGCGCTGCTGCACTTCTTCATTCCTTGTGGTGGTAAGGAATGCAAGACTGGTATACAGCAAAGAACCAAGCAGGCTCTGCAATATCTTTTTCAATATTGTACCTCATAAACACGAATTTTAGAGAGCACAGAGCAGATAGAAATTAAATAGTGTCAGGCTGGGAAAATCCTTATTCAAGGAATATAAGCATTAAGCTCCCCATTCAGAAGAGGTTAAGAAACCAAGATACCCAGACTATACACCAGCATATCCCGTAACAACTACATCCATATGCACTGAAACCCATTCCAATAATGTGACTGCTCTTGAGCATTCCTTGCTCTCAAAACACTAGAGTGAGGTACTGGAGAATGAATCCATGTTTTTAAGATTTGAAGATATTTAAAAACAGTCTATTTTGTAAGTGTGGTTAAACAGAACCTTGAAGCTAGAAGAAAAATAACTGTAATATATTTAGGGAAGGATGACAGTTGTCGGAGCATACCAGCAAGCTGATTTATTATTTGTGTCTTGCACAGCACAAAAGGGAAGAAAAAAGTTGAATTCCTAATGCCACAAGAAGATAAACAGCATCTGAAACTAAGCTTCAAGTAAATCTCATGCTGTTGCTGTTATTTACTCTACACAGCAAGACAACAACTAGTTTCCGGTTCAATCTTTATTCCCATAATGAATTTTAAAATAGATCTATTGACAATTTTAAAGCAAAATGTTATTGCTAAGCATTTTCCACTACTTCTGGGAGAATGCTTTAGACAAAGAGGATCAACTTCCAATGACAACTAAATCATGGGTACATTCATCCACGCAGTGACTGCAAACCTTATATTTTTTAAATTATTTTCTTCTAAAATAGAAGAAAATAGGAAATAGTTGAAAAAGACTTAAACATTAAGCTTGTTTGAGTAGAAAGACTGAATAACAAAAAAGACCCAAGCCAAAATTCAGCATGGACTGCTGTAAACCAAACATTTACAACAGTTTCCAATAATTTGTTAACCATTTATGGCAATCTAGAGAAACGCATCTGGTACATTTTATACTTTTCTATTAAAATCACTTTGCCTGCCAAAAAAATCCATAAAGAAATCCTTCAAAAGGTTTGGCCAGCAAAACTGTGTCTGGGAATGTATTTGGCCAATTTTCAATAAGCCATTATATGTTTTCTTGTGTAAATAGAGAAAACAGAGTTGTCTCCTTTTTCAATAAAAATTATGATTTATACTACAACAACATTAAAGTGTTGTTTTCTTTATTCAAACAAGCTTTTTTTTTTAAATTGAAATCATTTGCCAATACAACAAAGTTTGATAAAATATGGAGATCCAGTTTTCTGTCAAAGTTCAAACTCACTAACACATTCCTCCTCCTGCTTTGATGCACAAAGTTCTATGATCAAGATTTAACCTTTAAAGATTAAACTTTTGCTATGAAATGCCTGCAGTGAGATATTTATAAGTCGTCTATATATACACACATATATTAAAAAAAGACACACCACTAGCAAAACCAGTAACTAGTGACAGACTCATATATCAAATTGAAATTTCATTTGTAAAATTCAGACTGTGAATTCAGGGAAAACTCTCATGATATGTTTACCAAAGTAAACACTCATTCAATTATGTAGCAAAAGTCACAACATGACAATTTTGTAGAGGTCTTGCTGAACTAGTTGAGGATTTTCAAATGACTTTGCATTAATTATCCAGTCCCGAGGAGTCTCCTTAAAAACGCATGCGAATCTGAGTGCCTACACATTTATGTATATAAGTCAAGAGTAAGACCTTTTTTTTTTTTTTTTTTAAATGAGGAGCAATAATTAATTAAATATGTTCACAGCAAAGGTTGCCACTGCATTCAGCAGAAAAGATGATGTAGGCACCTCCTCTGGAAACTGAAGCATCAGAAGTTCCACAGGAACTTAAGGAATAAATTCTTAACAGTGAGGGTGACAGAGCACTGGAACAGGCTGCCCAGAGAGGTTGTGGAGTCTCCTTCTCTGGAGATCTTCAAAGAACATAAAGCTGTTGGGTAACTGCAGAAAAAGAATAAGTTTCTGCTTTTGGAACCTCTCCTCTGGAGAGCTGCTCCTCAAACTTCATAAACAAGCCAGAATTTTCCTCCAGGTTTACATTTACCCCATACGCTCAGGGAAAGCATAACAGAGAATACTGCACTAAAAAGGAAATACAGCGACTCACAGAAATGAAGAGAAAAAGACAAAAGCAGGAAGAGTTGGAAATATAGGGGGAGTAGACACTACGCAGAGACAAGAAAAAAAGCAGTCTAACATTCCCTAAGTACTCAGCGCTGTTGGTGACATCCATTTATATCACATTATGTACATAACTGCCACACAGCTAGCCATGGAAAAGTAACTTTCACTTTTGGTTTAAGGAAACTTTGCAGGCAAAATTAGAGGTGAGCGCTGAGCTGTGACTACAGAACTCCAGCAAGACTCTCATTACTCTCTCACAAAAGAGAAATCTGGTAAATTTCGAGCAACACTACTTTGTCCCCTCAGTTCCTTGGAATATTCTACCAAAAGAGAGAAAAGTGACAGTTACCTTCTTTCTTAAGCTCCTCAATCTGTTCTTCTTTGAAGTCCAGCTGCTCAGTAAGCCTCGATGCTGCATCCAGTGCAGCATTTGCTTCTTCCAAATTTTCCTAAAAACAGAGCATGAAAGGTACAACATGAGAAGGGAAGTGACTATCACAACTATGTCAATGAAACACAGATCAAACATGACAGTTGCAAAGACTTTAATCACTTATAACGTAAGGAGACTACAAGGTTTCTCAGAAAATGGATGTTCAGTGGAGCAATGATGCCTTCCTGGTCACCTGTTAGTCCTCTCCCTTCCAGAAAAGGGACCAATAACATAACTTCACATATTCTTAAAACTAATAAGAAAAAAGAATTAGCCTTCAGTTTCAGAGAGTATTACTCAGCCCACCTGCAGTGTTGCAACTTTTTCTTCCAACTTCTCAGCTTTTTCCTTCCATTCTGAAGACTGTTTCTGGTGTTTTTCCAGCTCTGCTGAATACATGGCCTTTTCTTCTAAAGGATTAGAAAACAATACAAAATGTAAGAAGTTCTTAGTTCACAATATTTAATTCTCTGTTTAGACATACATAGACATACATGTAAAACCGTACAGCAGAATTATCACGTGCAGCCATTAATTTCATGGAGTCAGAATTTTACTAAAGTTTGGTTTAAAGGCAAAAGATTCTGAAACTCAGGCCACTGCAAATAAAATCAAGTAACTAATATTTGAAAAGCACCAAAACACTAACAATCCTAAAAACCTCTTACTATGATCTTTAATTTCAGTATTCCATGACAAAACGTACCCTGTTGGAATTGCTCTAGTACCATCTGCAGGTTGGCCAGGGACAGTGCATACTGTTTCACTTGGTCCTGGGCGATGGTCAGCTGCAGCACAGTTTCGTCTCTCTGTTTGGTGACCAGGTTCAATTGTTCTTGCAAAGACTCAACCTGCATACTAGCTTGATGACTTAATGAAAATAAAATACATTTTTTAATGAAGTTAAAAAATCTTTAGAAAAGATCTTTATTTCTGCAGTAAGATTAGCCTATAGTTAATTTTAGCTCAATTTATAAAAAAAACAAAGGCAAGCATTTTTAAATGATTCTTCATGTTTAAAAACAACAAACAAAAAATTGGGTTGCTTACTGTAAAGCTACTTTGACAAAAATAGAACCCACATCTTGCTAGTTTTATCAATTTATAGTGAAGTCTTGAAGACTGACTTAAGTGAATCTAGCTCCAAACTGACTAACAAATACCCCATTAATCTTTGCATGGCACAATGTATCTGATTTAAACCCGTGTCACACATACTCCTTAGAAGGTAAGACTCAACAGTGCATACCAGGTGGGAAATAGGCTTTCTGAAATTAGTTGACAGATATTTTGCAAGTATTTTTGATGAAGAATATAGAAATATTCTAATGAATAGAAGTATTTTTTTTTTTTTTTTACAAAACCTTCTTCCAACTCTCCATTCCTTCCCCCGAATTCTCTACAACAATTTATGCTCAACAAATCTATTTGTTGAGGTTGTTAGCAGTAAAACGCACTTGAATATGCAGCTACCTTTTTCTTCCCTAAACACTTGTTCATTTGGACAATTGTGATAAAAAAAGAATTCTTATGCTCAAAGCAACCAGCTTTTTCTCTAAAGTGACTAAAACAAAATAAGACATGCACTCAGCAATTTTTTTTTCCAGATTTCATTATTTTAGCTGAAAAACAGGTTGTGGCATATAAATAGAAAAAAAATGGCTTTAGTTTCCCAGATTTTACTGTGCATAAGAGCCTCAATGTATCTTACTTGATTAAAAAAAAGTTTACAGGACTTTGCAGTGTCTATGTTACTAGGTAGTGGATGTGTAATTGTTTCCAAGACAATAAATAAAGCGTCACAGACGTATCCAGGTGTATAAAATTCTCTGCAGTGAATGAAGCCTTCACTGTAAAGTTGGTTAGGTCTGTCTTCTATACAATATAATGCATTTGACAACAGCTAAACTGATAACCTGCAGCACTTTTTATTGCTTCTGGTATTAAGCACTGTCAAATAGCTGAGATTTCTCTAGCTGCTTCAAAAAGGACAAATGCCCTTTAGGCAAAGCATTCTTTCTCATCTCAAGTGCTGAAGCATGTTCTGGAAGGTTGATTCAATACAACGAAGCCATCAGTGCCACTGCAGTTAAATGTAATGTTTACAGATAATCCCACTGCTGGAGAGATGAAAAGATTACCTGGCATTCTCCACTGCAGTAGATGAGGATACCAGTTTTTCTTCCAAAACGAAGACTTTCTTTCTCAGCTTGGCCTCTCTGTCTTCTGCAGCTAAAGCTTCACGTGTGTAAGAGTCTTCCATTTCCAAAAGGTGATTTCGCAGCCTGTCCAGTTCCTGGTTTAGGCGCTGTTCTTTCTCACGCAGGTGCTGCATCTGTGTAGAATTTATCTTAAGCTGCTTGTAGTAACACCTCTCATAAAAGCAATGTAAGCAAAAATAAAATAGCTCCTTTAAAGTAAATTGAACCTACTGATTCTAAACACTTTATGTGTGCTACCAAAAAAATCATCCTTATAACGAAGTTTTATATACAGTACTTCTTACTCATTTTTATGTTTTGCAAATTATTAGGTGGGATACCTCATTCTGCAGGGCACTGCTCTCCATTTGCTTCTGTTTGAGGGCTACCATGACTTGGTCTCTCTCTTGCTGAAAGGTAACAGCTTTTTCCTGCATTGATTTAACTTCATTTAACAGTTGATTCAACTCCCCTGTCTTGCCCTGTTGAAGTAGCAAACAAGCATTTAAAATGTTTTTCTTCCAAAAGAGGCAGCATGTGCACAGAAGAATTTACTCTAAAAACAATACTGATGTACTAAAGGCAAGACCCATAGAGCAGAAAAATACATTCAGAAAAGATATTATTTTGAAGTTATTTCACTGACATGTTAATAGGCAAACCAAGTTATTCCAAAAGACACTATGCAGATATATTGCCTTAATTGATCGCAGTGAACAGATATCTAGCAGTCTTATGCATTTCAGGTTCCTTCATACTTAAAAATTTCAATTTTTCCTCCACGTTTGCAATCTATGCTCTGTGATATGCTTACTACACCATACACATGTGAAGCATCAGCCTAGGCAAGTCACCTTGTCTCAGCATAAGAAATCTCAAGAATAAAAAAGATGATCTAATACCAAAATATATATTTTTTTTATGAACAGAGGAAATGTCCACCACATTCTCAGATGTCTATTTTCAACAAAATAATTTTACCATTTAAACATAATTTATAACTTTACACTAACACATAAAGGAGAAGCTTAGGTATGTCAGTTAGGTATGCTTTCAAAGCTACCTTATGAAACTTGGAGAAAAAAAAAAAAAACAAAACAAGCTGAATACTATTTAGCAACTGAAGAAACATCAGCTTATTATTTCAAAGGTGTATATGCACACATATCTTTTGCTGAATACTATACTTGAAAATAACAAAGCTTTTGTCACTGCAACTTTACAGTATTTATTTAGAGGACAGGAGAAAAAAAAAGGCAACTATGAACAGAATTAACTATCTTAAAGCTTTCTAACTAAAACCTGCATGAAAAAAAAAATCTGCCTATAGCACATCAAAGAGTTCGTTGCTTGTTTTCCCAGGTACCTTACACTGCAGGCTTATTTGGGAAAGCAGTCTGAAAATGCTCCAAAGAGATGGCAAGTTATATTAGTGAGACAAATGAATGTACAGAAACCATTATAAAGTATCCTGACATTCATTCCAAGAATCCCTTAGTCTCTCAGGCTTGCACTGGAGTTTTTCCAACCATAAAATGAGGATACATAAACCCACAACAAATTTGTAAGTCATATACCAGCTGATTCTTAACATTGCAGAAGGAGAATTTTTGTTCTAGTGTAATACAATGAAGGATGAGAAAAAACTTATTTCTAGCAAATACTTGATGTCTATATTTACATGAAAATTTATTACTATGTGACTTATTTAAATAAGAAAATCATAAACAAGAACACACATACCTGTTCTTTTTCTTTTAACAGACTTTCAAAAGCAAGAGCCTTTTCTTTCATTGAGTGGGATTCAAATTCTTTCTCTTTCAGCATCATTGAGAACTGCATATTAGTCTCCTGAAGTGCCCGGAATTCTGTTTCTTTTTCCGTACACCTTGTAACTATTTTTTCATTTTCTTCTTTCAGTTTTCGAATATCCATTTCTAAAATTAGATTTCTTTCTTTAAGATTAGTCACAGCTTGTTTTAAAAGCTCATTTTCATTTTCTTTGTTACTAAGATTTTCACTCACAGAAAGTAACTGATCACTTTTAGATTTAATCAGTATGTCTTTTTCCCGAAGTGACTTCTGTAAAACATCATGTTTTTCTTTGATCTGCCGCATTTCTGAATCATTTTCTTCCTGGCCCTTTCTCTCAAGCTCTGATGCTGTAGCCACTGAATCAGATAATCGTTGATTGTTTTCCTGAAGAGTCCTAATAGTTGCATCTTTATCTTGCAACTTTTTTTTCAGTTGTTCCAGTTCCTTCTGAAGGAGTTTAGATTCATCACTGAGCACTTCAGCAACACTGTGCTGAACTCCCGAAGACTGTGAAATAGCAGAAGCAGCTACTGTGACAGATGGTGTTACCAAGTCAAGTTTTCCCAGGAGGAGATCCTTGGTGTTATGTAGCTGTCCTATACTATGTTGCACTTGTGCCAACTCCTGGCTAAAACTTTTCAGCTTTTTCTCATTTTGTTCGTAACTCTGGATCAAGCCACTGTAATCTAACTGCAACTTCGAATTACTATCACTTTCAACTGAAATTTGTGCTTGAAGTTTGTGTAGCTCTTCTTGGAGGTGAGCTGACTCATGCTGCATGTTCTGAACCGTGGTCATCACCTGTTGCTTCCACTCCTCCATTTTCTTTACTTGTTGTTTTAATTTATCACGTTCTTGCAAAAGTTCCTCGAACTGGTTACTGTTAACACCTCCCGACCCATGTTCGGTACCTGTACTGGATGTCTGCAAGACAGTCAGCAAGGTTTGGCATTTTTGACTTAGAGCATCTATTTCAATATCCTTTTCTCGAATGATACGGGATAAATTCTGAATAGTTTCCCTAAACATGTCTTGACTGCTGTTTTCAAATCTACTGGATAGCTTTTGATTCTCTTCTTGTAACCTTGCTAAAGCTGCTTCTTTAGCAGCTACTATATCCATGATCTTATGGTACTCTGTTTTTAACTGACTGTTTTCTCTTGTCTTTTCACTTAAAACCGCTAGCACTTGTTCTCTTTCCATGACATAAGCTTGCAGCTGCTGCTGAAGACAAAGAACATCCTGCCTGTAGGAAGCTGAGGAAACTCTAGCATTGAGAGCTTGTATTTCCAAGTCTTTCTCTTGAATGATTTGAGTGAGTTTGCCAACTTCATCTTTGGACAACTGATCAATTTGTTGACTTAGAGAAACATTCTTTTCATTTAAAAGCTTAATCTCCATTTCCCTCTCTTTGATACCTTTTACTAGTCTTTCAATTTCAACTTTAGATAAGTCATGCTTTTCATTTCCATTTTCTCCATTAAGTGTCTTAACTTTGGTTTCCTGAAAGAGATCAGAGGAATCAGTCTGAATAACCTGCCTCTCTTTGTGCAACTGAGCTTTAATTTGTTCAATTGTTTTCTGTAAATTTTTTATTTCCTCATCTTTCTCCAAGAAAAGTCTTTCATGTGTAACATTCATTTGTTCCCGCTGAAATTTAGACTCATCTATTTCTTTTTTTTGCTCCTGCAAGGACTGCTGAAGTTGCACTGTTTTTTGATTCTGATCTTCTATTGTTTTTTTGAGAACTTCTATTTCCTCTTCAAGATTATTCTTTATCACTTTCAACTGCGTTACCTCACTTTCAAGTTCAATAATAATATCTAGAGTTTTAGGCTCAACCACAGGTAGGGACCTACTTTGTTGATCCTTAAGACGTTCGATTTCTTCTTTCAAGTGATTATTTTCTTCCTTCATAACAGCAAGACTTTTGTCTTTTTCTTCTAAGCTTTGTTTTAAGACATCCTGCTTTTTTGAATCTTTAATATATTCTTCAAGTTCTTGTTGCACCTGTAAGGCCTGATTTTTAAATTTTTCAATAAATACCTCTTTTTCTTTTATGAGTTCTGTCAACTGCTTCTGTCCTCCTAAACTGGTAGTCAACATCTCTTTTGTTTCCTGGTGATCAGCTTCCATCTGCTCAATGCTCCTTTTCAGTTCCGCAATCTTGAAGTCTTTCTCCTGATTGAGTTTAACTAAGCGCTCGTGCTCAAGCTGCAACGTGCTGGTGTCCATACGACGTGCATTTGATAATTCCTGAAGCGTTTGCTCGTACTTGCGTGCTTGTTCCAACAGCCGTTTTTCCGTCTGGCTTAATTCAGTTTCCAGTTGCCTCTTTTCCATTTTCAAAGCCTCCGTGACAGTGTTCTTTTCTAATGAAACTTTACTCTTCTCCGAAACCGCGTCACTTAGCTGCTGTTTTAGTTCTTCGCAGGCTGATAGCAATTTTACATTTTCTAGTTTGAGGTCAGACACAGATTTCTCCAAGTCTTCATTTAGTTGCTTATATTCTGAAATGTCATTCTGTAGTTTTGCAATTTCTACGTCTCTCTCTTTAAGGATCAGATCTTGACAACTGTAGTTAGCTTCCTGATTCTTTTTTTCTGTTACCTTGCTCAAGGATGCAGAAAGTTCCTCCTCTCTCTCTTTTAGTCTCTGCTGCAAATCTGTAATTTCTTTTTTACTATGCAAGTTACAGTCCTGGGCTTTCCTTAACTGTTCCTGTAGATCTTTAATATTATCTTGAAGCTGCTGCTTATTTATATGTAAATCATTAAGAGCAGATGAACATTGGCTTAGTTTTTCTTTATGACTATTTAACTCCTTAATAGCTTCCATCTTCTCAATTTCTAGCTTTGATACCTTCTTTCTTTCAAATTCTATGTCACCTTTCAGCTGTTTCATGGCACTATCCATTTCTGTATGTTTTGCCAGCTGTTCCTTCAATGTAATCATATGCTAAAATGAACACAAAGAAGAATTCATTAGGAAAGAAGAATCATCAGAACACTGGAATTCATTCATTTTTATCCTTTGGACTACAAAAACGGTTCAAAAGAAAGATCCTTACTTAAGGAAAAAAGCTGGCACATAGTATCAAGTAATCATTGCCAAATTAAAAACAAACTTTAAATAGGAATAAACTGCATTTCACTGAAAAACACCATCACCACCACACTCCAAAATCCCTAACCACACAAATCAAGAAATACAGAAAGACATTAAATGCCTACATTCATCAGGGCAGTTAAAGCTATTATGCAGCAGATATCCATTACTCAAAAACAAGCACTAAATACAAATAAAAAGCGACTCAACTGAGTATCTGCATATTCTATTTTAAATTTCTTGCTTTTTTTAAACACCAGTGATAGGTTTCATTTTATAGGAAAGTATTTTAAATGCTCAATTCCACAAAGTAAGCAATACTGGAAAAAATATGCCTTGCAATTTTATGCTTAACCATCAGTTGTATGCGGACAGCAACAAATGACCAACAGATTTTCATTACATATTATTGGTGACCTCCTTTGCTCCACAAGTGCTCACAGTATGAAGAGCTTGTAACAAAGTAGCTGAACTACTTTGAACTAACTTAAACCTGACAAAAGGTAAAGAGGATGTGACAGAAGTCAAAACTCCAGCAGAAAAAAAACAGCTAAGACAACTTGCAGGCAAAAAAAGAAAAAAAGTAATTTCAATTTGACATAGAAAGGAAGAATTTGCTATGGGCATCCTGCATGATTTCCTTGCCAGTAAAGAGGAAATACTTCCCTTTGGCAGAGGAAAGGTCCTGTAATTCTTTTACTGTCACAGGAAAATGTATACTTTCCTCTTTTTATTTATTTATTTTACCTGAGTAGCTTCTTGGTTCTGTCTGTCCAGTTCTTCCAACTCTGCTATTAAGGTTTCTCTTTCAGCAATACTTTCATTTAATTCATGCTCTTTTCTTTCCAAATCTTGTCTTAACTGACTTAATCCTGAATTCTGATCATCAGGATATGTAGAAAGAATATCCTCAGTTTTATGTTGTGCTTCTGTCAGTTCCTTCTGAAGTTCTTCCTTAAGAGAAGGAGCAAGCAAAAAATATTAAACTTCGGCCTACTGAAATTTAGATTTCAGACGTTTTCTTAAACAATTAAAGCAGTCATTTTTTATACAGAACCCTTAGGACTACACGAAAATCATCCCAGTTAAACTTCCTTCGTTGTGAAGTCTTTGTCTACATTCATAACAAACACAGTGACAAATGTTAGCAGTGCCATACGTAGGTTTCTGCACAGAAACAAGCCATGGTCTGACAAGTGACATTTCATCCACCTCTGAAGTGCGCATCCCCACTTGGGATCTCTTAGAGATACCCTCCACACACAGTATGCTGCACGTTGGGAAGGCAAGTTTTAACCAAGAACACCTGAAGAAAACTCATATGAAAAAATCACTGGAATACTTGAATTCATGCAAACCACAGAAGATCTCAGTTCAAAAATATCCCTGGAAACAAATTAAGTGAAATCTTTCAACCTAGGGTTTATGAGCTAAGACTGCGTTCCACACAGACTATATGGCTCTCTGCTTAGTAAATAAGACGGAATGTACTATTATTGCAGCAGGAAAAACAAGCAAACCAACAGAACTAATGAAAGTATCTACACTGAAATGTGGCTACATGGATTGAGAGAAGATGTGAAAAAAATTGACAGATTTTACATAGTACCATTCAATGCCAGTGCTTCTGAAAACCTTGACTATAATGTAAGGAAATAATTCAGAATACTTAGAACAAGAATCAATTCTATAAAATTGTAAATGAAATATATTTATGTAAAACACAGCTTCCAAAATGCAGTATTTATCAAATAAACAAAAAATATTCCTTGATGCCATATTAAAATATGCGGAGTTTTCCCTTTCAGCAGGTCAAGTGAATTCTTTGAAGTAATATATAAAAATGAAATCCTTAACTGAAAGACATGTAATAATAAAAAACATAATACTCAACTCATGTTGAGATAATAATATCTCAACTATATGTTGAGATATTATAACTTGATTGATCTGTTCATCCAACTGCAACAATCAGGTAATAGTACATTTAGAATAAGAATAAAAATAGAACAGTATTATTTTTAGGTTTCAGAATATTTTAATGCTTTATCTATATTGCATGATATATTTAAACACAGTCCAGAAAAACTAAAACACATACCTTCTCTTTTCTCAGCTTTACATTTTCTTCTTTAAGAATCTGTACATCTGGCATAAATGCCGGAATATCCTTCCCCATACCAGTAAAATTGCCAGTCTATAAAGAAAAAGAAGCACAGAATTAGTACTTAAACAAGGAAATGTTTCAAAAGAGGATTCTAAGTATTTAAATAGTACTACTTGTAATCAGTCTGTGTTAAGAAATGCTGAGAAATACATACATGACATGAACATAGTTTTACAGTATCTAAGATATTACCTATGTAGTAATTCAAGTCCATGTTCAATTAATACTATAGAACTATATGTTAGAGCAGCTTACATAATAATGTGATAGGAGGAACACCACTACTTTCTTTAACATATTAGGCTGTGGAGTTTCACAAAATCCAAATATACTATTTTCACTACTTCCATATGTAATTATAAAGTTAACTTAATTTCCTTGATTACAAGACTACTTAGAGAAGCATGAAATCTTCAAAAAAATTTTTACAGTACCAAGAACGTGGTTTCCCAGTTACAGTTAGGAATACTGTTAGGGCAAATTTTCAAATTGTTTTACCTGATTTAAACTTGAAAGTCTTGCTATTTCCCTTTCTGCTTCTATAAGGGAAAAGGAAAAAAATTAGAGTGCTACAAACAACAACAGACGATTCTCCCACCTTGCCTCCAACACAGCTCCACTGCCCAGAAGGGAAAAGCGTTCCACACTGTTTTGTGATGGTTTGTATGTTTTAGGAGTCAATGCTTTTAAGAGATTTGTATGTACTATCAATATCACCACCACAAAGTACAGTGCTATTTTTACAACTGAACCCACATTAGGAGAACTTTGGTACGGAAGTGCATTAGTAGCACAGTATTAAAAGATGTTCTAAATACAGATACACTTGTACCACAGATATATTGCACAGATATATTGTCTCTCTTGGAGAAAATATTAGCATCAGCCTGCCTATATAGACACAACAAAAATGTACTTCTAGCATTTGAAGAAAACTTCTATTCAGAAATACTTAACAGTTAAAGAAAGAAAAATCCTGATAAGCTAAGTGTCTGCCAACTGACAGAAACGCCTACAATAATCAAAACAGCTGAAATTATGTTTTCCTTCTCTGTTGCCCTCACCTCCGTAGTTAACTCTTTGCTAAAACAACATTTTTCAGTTGCATCTTTTAAAAATAAACTCTGAGCAGGAAGAGTGGAAACCTGTGAGGACGTGATTAACACACACACAACCTTCATACCTAACAGTGCTTGCTGTAGTCTGACAACATCTTCTGGAAGTGATGTCTTGGATATGAACTTCTCCTGTTCTTTCAAGGGAGCATCTTGCTCTGTAATAGAACTTTGAAGTTTACTAAAATCAGATTTTAGACTTTCATATTCTTGTGTTATTTGGATATTTTTGGTCTTAATCAGTTCTTGTTCCTTCAGAAGAGTTCTTTCTTTTTCTCTGGCAGAAGACAGTTTTTGATTTAATTTTTGTATTTCATCTTCTAGGTCCCTTATAATCTGCAGGTCCTCTGCTTTTCCAGCATCTGGAGCCTGAGTATTCTTTTTCTGTTCACTAATTTTAGAATCATCTGTGGCATCAGTGCTTAAGCCATCTAAAAGGCAAAAAAAAAAAATTAATACTTTTTAAAAATACTTTACATATATATATTGTTTAATACTAAGCAAAACCAGCTCTGTAGATCTTTTACCCAAGTCTCCTTTTCCTACCTTTCTCCTGAAACAGAGATATGATTGTTACATACAACTTTTTAATATATGTATTAACATCTGAAGTAGTGCCATTGATTAGATAAACAGCTCTTCAAATTCAAAATTGTTTTGAGCCAGTGATGTGTAAGACAGGAGCTACAAGATGCAGGCTGATCGGGTTCAAATTAAAATATGCTTGACAAGGAAATGTAGTGAAGGTGACGGAAGCTAAGCAACCAGGATAAGAAGTTTCCTATTTTACCAAAGCACAAGCCACCTTGATGCAAAATCAGTATTTTATTTGATTATTGGTGGCTATCAGATAGTACAATATTTCCCATATGCAATGCACTTTTGCTAGCAGACCTTATCAGATAGAATAGTGAGGTTTTTTTTAAAATCTGTTTCAAGGTCTTAAGCTTATTTGAGAATATGCACTGTTTCGAAATCAAAGTTTTAACACCTCACAAGTTATAGGCATATAGGTATTTAGGTCCCTCCACTCCCCCACTCTTTTTTAAGGTGTGTATTTGTGCAAAGAAATCCCTAAAGGAGACCTAATTGACAAGACTGTATTTTATATATTATGAAGGATTTGCAAGACACAATGAAAAGTGTCTTACGACAATGGCTGCACTTCCACAAGCTAGCCACACCATAGGGAATTGTATGGTCCCTACTGCAAGCTAGGAGCTCAAATCAACCGGTACAAACGAATTCTCAACAAAATTATTTTTGTGTTGAAATGTTCTTGACTTCAGCACAGCACATCTCTTCCACCTCTATATTTAGCTAAAAAACATGAAGTGTAGAATTTAGGGAATAAAATTTGATATAAATAAAAAGACTGTCTCAATTGATAGATGTTAGACACTGAAAGGCTATTATTCCAGTATTCAATCCAAGCACAGTGTTTAAGATATCAGAATATGTGTTGAAGCATAAAGCTGTGCTGAAGTTTAAATTCAGATTTCTAAGTATCATGTATTTATCATGTACTACACTGTTGATAATACACATATTTTATACTTTAACCAAGCTTCACTGTAAATTAAAGCAGAAAACATCAAAAATACACATGGTAATAAGCACCTTGCTGTAGTTGATTCTCAAGTTCTTCAATTCGCTCCTCATATTCACTCAGCTCTTCCCGATGTCGACGACTTATCTCTGCTAGCTTTTGTCTGTGTGCATCTTGCAATACCGAAAGTTCATGCTGATGTTCATCTACTTCTTGACTTAAATTCCGCTTGAGTTCCTAAAAACATTGTTACATAAACAGAATGTTAAAATTCAGTACACAGCCTTAGGCAAGAAACAGAAGAAAACTTTTCCAAGTAAAATTAAAATATTTCCTCATAGAAGAGGCTGTTTCTTAGTTTTTAAATATTAAAAAATACATGTTGTGCACAACACAAAGTAATAAATTGTAATCTCTAAAGACTGCTTAAGTCACTGAAAGTGGATACAGCAGGACACATTTTAATAACTTTCTAGTATGACATGCAAATCTGTATTTGTTTCTTAAACTAAAAAAGTGTTGAGGTATTTCTGAGAATGCAGGTAAAAAGTATTTTGAGCATCTAAAATTCATTATCACAAGCTATCAACTGCTTCTGAACACTAACTGCCCCTACAGATGCCAGCATCACCCTTTTAAGTACTATATTCAGCAAGTTACATAAACGTTCTTTCCCCTAGATTTCAAAACAAATCTAATAATTTTGAGAGAACATAGCAACATTTCAGTCTGCAGTAAAGTACCCTCTCCCCCACCATTATTTATAGAAGAAATGCAAGTACCAATGCTACAAATCTCATCTTTACTCGTGAAAGCCTTGCTGCATGCAAACCTGCAAGAATACAGGATAAGACAGGACTGGCTTGTCAAAAGTTGTCATCTTACCTTAACGATATTTTGCAGTTTACAGATTTCACTTTGTTCTGCATCACTTGCTCCTTGCCCTTTGGAAGGCTAGGCAAAGAAGAAAAATACCATTTCCATGTGGAAAATGTGATAAAACACCTAATATTTTTCATGCAAATACTTCATTGATAGGATAACTGAAGACAGAAAGCAAAGCAGCCAGTGTCTACCATGATATATTAAGATTATCAGATTACTAACACGAAGCAAAGTTTGCTCAGAAAAAAAAAAAAAAAAAAAGGTAATTTTAAAGCAAGCATCTTTCCACTCCTCTCCCCCTCCACTACCTGCAAATGTATAGATGTTTGGTTGGGGGAAGAGGGTAACTGTCACACCTAGCAAGATAAAATGGTGGTTTCATTTTACTTTGCTATTTCCTTGTGGACCAAGTAGTATCTTGGATATCAGACAACGGCTTGAGAAATAATGACTGACATCAACAACAGCTTGAACGATTCTTCTCTTTCTTGTCTTAGCAGACCAAATATTGTAACTGACATATCGCAGTGAGAAAAGAATAAGGAAAAATAATATGCAAACATCTAACTACCACTTTGAGCAGTATTGTGCTGTCAATAAACAATGAAAAGTATTTCCAGGAAGAGGAGTGTTTTTTACAAGCTGCATAAAAAGTAAACCCTGAAGTAGTACTAATATTCCTGATCGGTATTTATGGAATGCTTTTCCTAACTCAACAGTTCATGCTTAAATTCATTCTCAAAAAGCATTTGGAAAAGTCACTCAGTGTGCTCAATGTGTCACGAACCACACAGGTAATGGAGGCCAAAAGACTCTTCCATCGAATCATGTTGATTCTATAAAACTTGAAAGTATAAAATAAAATAACACACTGAAGGAATGCTAAATGCCCTGAAAACACTAATCCAGACGCACAGAGGAGTGAAGAGAAGGAGGTGAATCACTCACCTGTGCAATCTGCTTCCAGTGTTCGACCTCAGATTCAAGTCTAGAAACTTGATTGGACAATCTGTTTATTTCTTGCTGTGACCAGATTATATCTCCAAAATCCATGTCATCATCTTGAAAACCTGAGGAATGTCTAACCACTGGAACAAAGGAAGCTGATGTAGTAGTTGGTGGCAAAACACCAGCTCCCAATTGTGCTGACTGAGCAGCTGTCTGTACCTTCTGCAACTGTTCCTGTAGTGCATTCTGTCTAGCTTTTAGATGGCTGATTTCCACCTGAATATGCAGAACACCGTGCATTATTTTAATTAATCTGTAAGAATATCAATATATATTCTACATCACCCCCTTTAAATGTTTTAAACCAACCCATGCCACACTCCCCTTACCATGATTTACTGAAGATCTTTGCTGATTTTTCAGCTAACAAGTTCAGGCTAAGAAGTTGTATAATAAATTAAAATCTTCAAGAAGGGTTTGAAAATATGAAAATTAATACTTTATTTACATTATGCTCTACATTTCAGAGTCCTTATCCACATCACACAAATTAGACGCATACAATTTTCCTTTAACATCTGTATATTTAGTGAGCAGAGTATCATACATCTCATGACTCTGCTTCTTCTAGTTCCATATATATTTATAAATAAAGCAGAAGTAAAACGTATCTTGTGTAATATTCTTGGCACACTAGTGACTTTCTTAACTTAAAAGGCTGTAAAAACTCACATTTACGCAGTAGTTCACAGAGCTAATCCATTTACATCACAAAGATAAACTTGCTTAACTTATGTTAGTTCTGTTCCAACTGTACAATTTAAAGATAAGTAAGTTAAATTCACCAAGAAAAATAACTGCTTCAAATGAGTACTTGTTGTTCTGCTACCTTCCTTAACAAAGATAACTGAATTAGAAATACAAAACAGTTATAGTATCCTTTCCCACAGTGATAATGAAAAGGACACGAATTCTGATATACACATAATATTTCTGAAGATATTTCTCTCTTCTCATCTATGTTCTGGCAGCTGTGGTTATATTATATGAATTGTATGAAATTTATGCCTTAGTCTCTCAGTCTCTAATACATAAAGAAATTTATCAGTATATTTACAACTGTGACTGATACTTCCAGTGAAAACGCACACATACAAAAAATTAACAAAAATACTAGTCAACATAACACAAATTTATTGAATGTACTTACTCAAGTATTTTACTCTGTATCATACCTCTTTTTGCTGTAGCTGATTTCGATACTCTACAGACAACTGCTTTATTTGAAGCTCTGCTGATTCATGCTTTTCTTCTAAATCACTACAAACTTTTTTCAGTCTCTCATTCTAGCAGAAATGAGAAATGGATGTTAAGCTCTGAACAACTAGTTCTTGCAAAACTAGAAAAGCAGAAGGTTGCTAAACAGTTAAAAAAAAGTTAGAAAAATCATGTTATTTTACTCAAAACACATTGTAGAAGTAATTTCAAGTGTGGCCCAAAATAATTTTCATGTCCAAACTTTCCAGTTTTACAGACTTTAATTTTCACTCAAAGGTTTGTGATGACCAGACCTAAATGCCAAGAAGAAAAATTTCAAAGTTGAATTATTCTTCATATGATGGATAGCATTGAAAGGTGGAATTTTAGAACAGCCACAGAACAAACCAGTGCCAATACCTGTATAATTCAGTATCCTGTCTCTGACAGCGACCAACAGCAGATGCTAAGAGTCTAGAAACAGGACAAGCAAAAGCTCAATATACCCTCCTACCTTCACTCAGCTAATAAGGGCAGACAAAGCACATGAGGGTGGCTGGTTTACAGATAAAAATGACAAAAGCAGCAGGTCCTTCTAAAAGGACACAGCTACTTGCCACATAAGTACAAGGGATTTTTATGTTGGAGTAAACAAGCATGAGCATCTATAGCTATGTCAAAAGGACCATACAGGAGACAATGCGTGCTGCATCGGAGAGCACCACCTCCAGACTCTGTAGCTTCCCATAAAAGATGTACTGTAGAGCACAAAAGCAACCATTCCAGATTTGCTTTGACTTCTGGTCAGATGTAAAACATAATGAATCACCTAACTCTTTAACAGTTAAAACTTACTAAAACTTTAAATGGAAAGAATATGAAGTCAATCGCTAAGGTCCAAGCCCCAGCACATCACAGGGCACAAATCTACCCCTCTAGCTGTAAGGACAGTTAGTCACCAAAGAAAAGAGCAAGATTGTACCACCACTGCCACCTTGTTTCCAGAATTTCACAAGGATGAGCATCTTCAGTGCAATATTTTGTTTTGGCCAGCCACACAATCATTTTTATTTATTAATTATAGTAAATATATTCCAAAATATCTTACTTCTGACTTCTGTGCTGCATTAATACTTTCTATTTCTCTGAGTCTAGAATTGGACACATGGAGTTCAGTTGCTGCATCTGAAAGAAAAATGAAACTTTTGAGCTTTGCTAAACTAAGTCTGTTACACAGATACCAAGATCAAAATTATCAGCAAACATTTTTTACTCTTAACTACTTTAATGTTTATTCCTATGGAAATGTCTGTGTATATTAACTGCTGTGTATTTCTGAATCTGCTCTTCACTTAGGACTTTGCCCTTAACATGACAAGTTGTATTTCCCAATAATTTCACCTGAAGGTTCATAACAAGTATTAGTTGCACAAAATACACACCGAAGTGAGGCTGACTAAAAATTCAAAAAGAGCAGATCATCACAAAAAGACCAGCGCTTTCTCTGCTAAAAATAAAACAACAAACACAAACAAAAAACTTTACACACCACTCCAGAAGACATATACAAAATTTTGACCATAACAACTTATAAACCTGGATACTTCAGCGACCAATGTTTCTCAAACAGACTACATGATTTCTCCTCTGCTCCACTTTTTAATGGAAGGAAATGATATTTTTTCATTTCACAAATAAAGGTTATAAGAGCATAGATAATTGGCTAGACAGCAACACTGGCAGTCTTTATAAATTTGAAATAAATATAAACATACAAGTAATTGTTTTCTAGTTTCCCACATGCAGTGAGAGGTGCAGAAGCAACAATCTGCCCACAAAACCTGTTAACCTGGAGATGTTCAAGTCTATAATCTGCAAACGCGATCATTAACTTGGCTGGAAATCAGGCAGTAAGTAAAAGGAGTAACATTAAAAGCCAGGGTGAAAAGGAAAGTGTTTTTTAGGCGAAGCTGTATGCAAAGACCTTTACTACAGCAGAAGAGCATTTAGATGCTACTGGACTGTTACATCCTCAAGAAAGTAAGGCCAATATGTCATAAAAGACTTTTATATACAAAAAAACTGTTCACAGCAGTATCTACCAGTCAAGCACAACTGGGGATAACCCCTAAACATCTCTTACAAAGTGAAGCACAAGTCTGTGAACTGGAATCTCAGTTTTGTCTTTTTTTTTATCCTAAAAAAAGACATCAGGTGACTACAGAGTTTAGAAGTATAAAGGAAGTTTCTAAACTAAACTAATATAGCTTTTAGACTACAAAATAATTGCAAGCACATGTTCCAGAACTGAATGAAAATGATATCTTTCCTAAGTCATCAGAGCAGGTTTCTGTCTTCAGAGCAATTTAACCATTAAAGAAAAAATAAATAAATAAATAAAAAAGCCCAGAAAAGGCCCAGAAGTCTCATCCCAATTGCGAGATAATGTCTTTATACAAAAGCTTCACAATTGTGAAGCTATAGACTAGGCAAAAATGTTAAATTTGACATTCTAAAATCGGCATTTAAAAGTCACAGCCGTTCTCCGTGGTTGCCATTGTTTATACTTCTTTTAGAATATTTACTTTTCAATAATTTTAATTTGCAGAATGACTAAATAACACTAGTAAGATTAACCTATGATATGCATCACCACTTTTTTCAAGAAAAATCTAAAGTTTTATTCAAAAACACCTTATGAAAAATCATAGAACTCTTAAAGCTGTTCTTTCTGTTTTGCTAACAGGGTGAGACTTCTTTGAATTCTGGCCATAAATAAACAGATAATGCAACAACTTTTCTTCCTCTGTTAGATTCTTCCTTCAGCTAAGGAAATACTATATTCTAGAATAAGCTGACTGTTACTTTATTCACTATCTTACTCTGATGCCTCAGTTTTTTTATTGCCTACCCTCTGTACCTCATGTTCTCCAACTTGGCCTCAGGAGAGTGCAAGGCAACCCACTGAATTCCCCGGGCCCTACCGAAATGTAAACAACAAGCACATCAACCGTACTGGACCTTTGCCTGGCTGACACGTCAGGCTTCAGATTACAGAGAAAGAGAGAAAAAAAAAAAAAAAAAGGGAAAGAAAGAAAAAAGAAAACACCACCACCAACGAACCCCCTTCCCTCTCTACAGCTTTATCTGGCCACTGTTCCTCTAGAGGCAGCTACTCAGGGGGCGTTTTAGATAAACTGAACCAACACGGCTATTTGGCAGAACATTCCTGTGGGCTCTCCTTACGGATAACACAAGCACTCATGAAATTCGGAACCTTCAGACCAAGACAAGCCCAGCACGGGTTCACCCCTTACAGCACGGCCTGTCAATACGTTTGTTTACGTCCCAGGCGCTGAGGACGGAGGAGCAGAACAGAAACAGACACGAAACAGCCGCAGGCGGCACCAACCC